TCTCTCTCTCTTTCTCTCTTTTTCTCTTCAAACTTGTACGAGCTGTACGAATAATCGAACAGAAAAAAGGAAGAAAGACAAAAAAAAAGAAAGAAAAGGAAATTTCTTTCTTGTTTATTTTTTGCTTGTTCATTACACGACGATACCACCACCACTGCCCACCCACCCCCGTCCGACCATCTTTGGAAAGAAAAAGATATATAACGACAATAAAAAAAAAAACAAAGAAAACAAATAAGAGTATTCTACATTAATAAAATGAGAAATTGAAAGAGAGAGAGAGAGAGAAAAAAAAAAAGAAAAAAAAAAAAAAAACGGAAAATAATAAATTTGTGATTATTCGAAAGATTTGCAAATAAAAGCGTTGGTGGAATTTCGCTTGGTAGACGAGCCCGAGACGATATTCTACCCATTCTACTACGCGTATCCAATTTGATGGCATTACAATAACGGGGGTAATGTCTGAGAATAATGAAATTTCCTCCAATCACCGCGATTCGCTTGGAATACGTTCGTTCCTCCGTGTTCCCTCTCTCTCTCTCTCTCTTTCTTTCTTTCTCTCTCTTCCTATTTCACTCTCTCCCTCACCTTCTTTCTTATTCGAAGGTAAACCTACGACTATGACGACGTCTACGTTGAAAAGCAAAGACACAGACAGGTATAACCTCGATAGGGATGGGGGAGGGTGTGGAAGGGGGTCAGAAGAACACGGGAGAAACGTTTTCGAATCAATCCCGTCACCGAGTTATTTCGTTTCTCATCAAAGCTTTAAGAAAATTCTTATCTTTTGTATCGAAAAGAAATTTAAATGATTCTTCTTCTTCTTCTTCTTATTATTATTATTATTTCTTTTTCTACAATAATTTATTTATTTCCAATGGAAAAGACATTTTTTCGAGAAACTTATCTTTTTTTTCTCTTTTATTTTTTTATAGAGAACAAAATTTCTAATAGAAACGTGTATATATATATTATTGTTATTATTTTATCATTCGTATTATTTATACGATATTCATTTATTTTGTACGATATATTTTGTTGTTTTTAATAGAAAAAAGAAAAAAAAAAAAGAGAAAAGACAATTCTTTACGAATACACAATGGACATTGATAAACTAGAAGAAAATATATTTAACCCTTCTTCTTTTATTTTTTTCCTAGTTTCACAAATTCAAATCTTGAACATTTCTCAGACTGTTGCTATATATATATATGTATATATACTATACATAACTAGAGAACGGTGGTGCAATAATTCTCGAGCGAACTGTACGTAATGGAATATTACACGGGCCATTAAAGAAACGTTAATCTTGCCCACAACAAGTTCAGAAGCGCTCGCAGGATGCTCAAACGCGGTACGGGGATTATACGGTGTACACCGTTGGCTTTGATCCTCTACCGGCCTCCGGGCCCTCCGGCACCCGTATAATTTGTTAAAACGCGAAACTCTCCGAGTATCTCTCTCCACCACCACTACCACCACCTCCACCTCCTCCTCCTTCTCGTCCTTTACTTTTCCTTCTTCTTCTTATTCTTCTTCAACGATCGCATTGTACCGTCGTCTCTTGCGAGAATTATTACATGTTTCCCATATATATTTTATAGTAATTTAATGATATATATATATATATATGTGAATTTATTTATATAAAATAAAGAAAAAAGAAATGAAATGTTATGATGAAAAATGTGTCAGATATTTTGATAATAACATAAGAATGTTTAAAAAGAAATCCTTTAAAATCGTTGTATATAAATTCGTTTAGTTTCTCATAAAATGGGGCTTGAAAAGGTGTAAGGGAGAGTTGGATGAGAAAATACAAGGGGTAAAAGGGGGTTGAAGATTATCGGTAGATTAATTCGCAAAATTTAATAGGAAATACGTTTAGGATGGTAACTTGGACGTCTACAAAGGGTATTGTGTGAAGGATGAATTTCTTTCTTTTTCTTTCTCTCTCTCTCTCTCTCTCTTTCTCTCTCTCTTTCTCTCTTTTTCTCTTCAAACTT